AGGCATCAAGATTTGGATGTTGACTGGTGACAAGGTCGAAACAGCTCGATGCGTCGCCGTCAGCTCCAAGCTTGTCGCTCGTGGTCAGTACATCTACACAGTTTCCAAGCTTAAGAAGAAGGATAACGCGCAAGATCACCTCGATTTTCTTCGTGGCAAGACGGATTCTTGTCTCTTGATTGACGGCGAGAGTCTGGCTCTCTTCCTCACCCACTTCAGGATCGAATTCGTCTCCGTGGCTGTGCAACTCCCGACAGTTGTTGCATGTCGGTGCTCGCCCACGCAGAAAGCCGAGGTTGCCAAGCTGATTAGGGAGTACACCAAGAAGAGGGTGTGCTGTATTGGTGACGGAGGCAACGATGTTTCCATGATTCAAGCAGCAGACGTTGGTGTTGGTATTGTTGGCAAAGAAGGTCGACAAGCTAGTTTGGCGGCAGACTTCTCGATTGAGCAGTTCTACCACCTGACTAAATTGCTTGTCTGGCACGGGCGCAATAGCTACAAGCGCAGTGCTAAGCTCGCTCAGTTTGTCATCCATCGTGGATTGATCATTGCGGTCTGCCAGACAATGTACAGTATTGCCATCAAGTTCGAGCCCGATGGTCTCTACAAGGTATGCCGACTTCTTCTGGTTGCGCACATCCATTTCTTTTGCTAACGTCTACTTGTAGGATTGGCTTCTCGTCGGCTACTCTACCGTGTATACTGCATTCCCCGTTCTCTCTCTTGTCCTTGATAAGGATGTGGACGAAAACTTGGCAAACTTGTACCCGGAACTGTACAAAGAGCTCACTTCCGGCCGTTCCCTGTCTTATCGTACCTTTTTCGTTTGGGTTGCTGTTTCGATCTATCAAGGCTGTACTATCCAAGGTCTGTCACAGCTCTTGACCGAAGTCGACGGACCCAAGATGGTGGCGGTCTCGTACACCGTACTAGTTCTCAATGAGCTACTCATGGTCGCCATCGAGATCACGACGTGGCACCCTGCCATGATCATCTCCATTGTTGGCACGTTTCTGATTTATGTCGGCTCCGTGCCGTTCCTTGGCGGTTACTTTGATCTCCAGTTCATCATCACTTTGTAAGTCTACTTGCGTCCATGCTGCTTCAGAACTCCGTAGACTAACACGATGCAGGGGATTCATCTGGCGCGTCCTCGCCATCGCGGCGATATCTCTCATCCCACCCTATGCGGTGAAGCTCATCAGGAGGACGATGAAGCCGCCCTCGTATAGAAAAGTGCAGAGCACGTAAGCATTAGCGTGTTTAGTTATCATTGTTGTATGAGATCTTCTTTGTATCTATCTTCAAAGCTCTGTGTTAGGGCGTCTGGGATCGGTGTCAGCGAACGGATCCGCGGCCATTCAAAGGGAACGGCCGCTGCGGTTTTTGCATTATTAGGCGGAGTTTGACGGGGGGGCCTGGGAAACTGTTCTTTCCCAAGTTTGTACGGCATTATTTGGATGGAACTATCGACAGCCCAGAAGAATTAGACAGCGTTATCGAAACTTGAGTTTATTGGGCAACGTCCTGCTCCCTTTTTTTGCCTCGGTGTGTTTTACATGGCTTCGCTCTGAGATGAGAAATGAAATCCCTCACCCTGGTGAGTTTTTTACTCCTACAACTTGAGAACAATCCAGTCCTTCAAGATATCCGGGTTCCGCCTCTGCATCGCGCCCAACTTACCCCCCACAGGCCCTTGCAGCTGCCCGCCGTCCCGCCACAGCTTGGCGCCAGCGTACGCCTGGACGAAACCCTCGGGCCCGGAAACCACAAAGACGTTCTTTCCCCGCGGCGCGGCGTCGTCGGCGGAGCAAGCGCAGTCGTCCTGCTTGAAAAGGCTCCTCTTCCCGGCGTTGGGCGCGCCGTCGACCATGCCGACGTGTGCTGTCTGAGAGTGGAATCTGCAGCCTTCAACGGCGTGTGTCGGCGTTGTACCAGCAGAAGTCGTGGGGGAGGATTGGAGAGTGAGCGCGGCGGAGAGGTCTGCTTCGCGGACGGCGGTGCCTTCTTGGTCTACTACCACGCGGACGTCGAGCTTGTCGCCGTATTTCACTTTGAGGGCGAGGAGGTCCCTGCTTATAGGCGAGGGGGCGGCGAGTGTATCTGCGGAGAGGAGGGCCTCGGCCTGGGATCCGGGGGTGTTTGTCGATGATGAAGAGAAGGGATTCCACCAGCTTCCCGACGGCGACGATGACGATGGCTTCACCTGTGGCGGCACGGTATGCCCCCCGACCAGCTGCTCTCGAATCTCATCGCGGCTCCTGACGGCCCAGAAGATGGTCATGGACGGTCCATCTGCGAGCGGGAGGACGGCGTGCGCGGCTTGTAGTGCGCTCGCGATGCCCGTTCCGCCTGCGAGGAACACGACGCGGTCGCCTCGTTTGCCCAGGCGGGAGCGGAGGTCGAACTCGCCGTGTGGACCGCGGAGTTCGACTTTATCGCCCTTTGTTGCTGGGCCATCTGATGGTGAGGAAGGGGGTCCTAGACGGCTCAGATATGTTGAAACTTCACCCCCTCGTACGGCGCGAACGTAGAGGCGGAGAGTGTCCTCGTCATAGGAGGAGCCCGGGACGGGAGGGAGGGGCGTATACTCCCTCGCGACCTGGATCTGAGGCTGCTTCACCTCTACGCACCATAGGTCGAAGATGTCCCAGAGGGAGGATACGCTTGGGACGTTGCTGCTGTGGGACGAAGGCGGTGCCTTGAGGGTTAGGATGAAGGAGGTCGGGGAGACCTGCTCGCGGGCGACGACGTCAAATGGGATGAACTTGCGGGCTGGGCCGAGGGCTGTTTGCTCGGCTGGGTCGTTGGATTGCGGGGTGGAGGGGAAGAGCCATTGGGCATCCCATGCTATGCCGCCTACTGCGAGGAGGAGGAGGACGGGGAGGTAACGGGGGCTTATGAAGGTTCTAGCCCTGTGTTTGGGGGGGCGATGGGGTTGAGGGGCGGTGGGTGAAGGTGTCGTGGATTTGAGGCGGTGGTAACGCGTTGTTGTTGAGGATGAGAGTGCGGATGGTGATGTTGGTGTCATTCGCCGAATTGTCCAGGCTGAAGAGTGGCGTGATGGGTGCTGTGTCGGATACAGTGAAGTTGTTGCCAGTGTCGTTGACCGGGATGCAGCTGCGGCGGCCGGAGTGGCACGGAGCTGAGGTCGGATATGGATGAGTGAGCGCCCGGCAACCGGCCGGAGAGCCGCGCCGCCGGCAGAGATGAATGTAGAAGCCCCCATCAGTTTCCCAGCACCACCTGGTCTGATTAGGAGTAGACGCTTTCTGAATAAATTGGCGCGTAGCTTCTCCAATAATCTCTTTCGAGAAAGAGGTGCAATGGGTGGTGACGAAAGTCGATGATGAAAGCTACAAGTGGGCTAGTTTGGCTGAGCGAAACTGAGATGCGCACGGTCACGTGAGTCGCTTGATTGACTTCGGTCAAGAAACACTTACACGCCTATTATCGATAGATATATTTGTTCAACACTATTTTGACGTAGTCAACACTTGATTGAATGGAAATCTTGGTTCAGGTAGTTTCGGATGTAGTAAACTACTTCGTCAATGGATTTCACACGGCACTGGGACAAATTGTAAGTGAAATTGACCTCAAACCAGAAATCACATCAGGTCCCGCAAGGCAAGGGGTACTCAAGTATGCAGCTTTGTAGAAGTCGTTTCAAATAATTTGCTACTCCACAGAGGGTGAAATATGCAGATATTTCAAATAGCTGCTCTTTCGTCAAGCTGCAAGACACATAAGTTGGTACATTGATGGCGCTCAGGATGATCTCTTTGTCGTCCCTGACTAGCTTGTGCGAGTGCTGTTTTCTGAGGAGGACGCTGCCCCAGATCTTTTAGTTCGAATGAGATTCCACAGGAGCCTTCTATCAAGTACTGAGAGTGTAATACTTGATATCTGGCTCTCATACTGCTGTAGATAGGTGTAAGTGATCTTATGAGGTCACACGCTGAATCTCTCATTCCAGCTCAGCCATGGTCTCAAATCACGCGAGCAGAGCATAAAAACCCGTCTGTAGATTGATATGGGCGACGATCTGTTGTCCATCGAACTGGCAAGCCTTGGAACCGGATGACTGATCAATGGCGTTTGTGATATGTGAAAGTTTGCAGCTCTGACAGAGGGCTGAGCAGACATCCACAACCTCAAGTTCAAAAGCTTGACTCCTCCCTTCTCGGTGTTCAAGGATACTCTATAATCACTAATACGTGCGTAAGGATGAGTACTATAGGGGGAAGGCGAAGGTGGTTCTGAAAAGTTGCACTTTAGATAGAGAGTCTTGACGTGTTTTTACAGTCATTATGCTTCTTAGTATTCTCCTGTTATCTTTTCCCGTTAGAGCTTATTGTAGTAGGATCTCGACGTTTTTTGTTCGTGTAAGCATTTTCTTTCTCAACGCCATGGCCCTAGAGTAACATTTCTGAAAGGCTGCCTGCGGGCTGATTGTGCTTTTGAGCAAGTCAAACCATACTATTGGCTCTGGTATTTATCGTTGTCATTAGTTTAAGCTAATTGAACGATCTCACATCACTCTTTATGACCTTACACCACTCTTCATGGCCTCACATCACCCTTTACGGTCTCAAATCACCCTTTATAGTCTCATATCACTCCTCACGGAGTTACCAGAGAATGTTCACTCACGAATACGTTCGGGGCACGAGTGTCGTAGCGTGAAGGACGCCTCGATCTTGCTCAAAAGCAGCCACCGACCTTGGGCCCAAGAACTGGCACCAAGTAGAACGACCTCTCTGCCCTGGAGCGCAAGAAACTGCGTCTTCCTCTACCGTAATGAAGCCAGGAAACTATCTTTGTGCAAATGTATGGAGGAGGGGTCGAGAGCCCTGGTTATATAGCATCTGAGCATCTCGTAGGCGGTCTTTATGATGATGAAAGTGTTTCAGTGTTTCTGCCATTGAAGTCTCTCATATGAACCTAGAAAGTCTGCGCCTAGGATGCTTAAATCTCTACCAAGTCTGAAAATCATGAAACTCCCTGTGCCGTCGTGGAGATGTCCCACGCTCTACGTTATGATACAAGCAACTCTTACACCCTGCCAACTTCCCTACGCAGACACATCCCCTCTATCAAAGTCTGATGATCTTTCTATCCTCATCAATACCACCCCGAAACATGTCAGCAACGACTCGGCCCCCGAGAACCGTCTCGTTGACGATACCCTCAACGTGCTTCGGCTCAACCCGACCATACCAGATCCCCTTCCCGGCCAGAGGATGCTTCTCCCCATTAGCCATAAACTGCCCGGGCGGGATATAGATAATGATATTCCCCGCAAACTTGTGCCCGCCAATATGGCTAATCAACCCAACCCTCGCCGACATTTTCTGATACCTCCTCTCACCGTCCTCAGACGCCTCAGGCGCCGCAATCCTCCCAGCCCCCTCACCACTCTCATCAACCACAACAGGTCCCCTCAAAACACCAACCCCAACCCCCTCAAACCTCTTCTCAAACTCATCCCTCAACACGGGCCCCATGACGCCGCACCGCATATCCCGCCCGCCGTGCCCGCAAATCAAAACCAGCACCTCCTCCACGTCCCGAACCCCGTACAGCAGCGACCGGTAGGCCTCCTTGCGCGTCAGCCGGTCCCGGTGGACGGGCGACAGGCTCCCGTCGTGCATCTTGTGCAGCTTCTCGGGCAGCAGGTAGCCCTTTGCGAGGGCCTGGACGCTGTCGAAACTGACGCGCGGTAAGAAGGGCACGTACTTGAAGCTCGGGAGGAGGTAGGCGCTCGTGGTCTGCAGCTCGCTCCGTTGGGGCACGGAGGAGGGGAAAGAGGCGTTTAGGGTTGAGATGTTGTGCCAGGGCTGTTGGTTTGGCGGGAGGTTTCACTTACCGTCAGCCCAAGGTGTTCTCATACAATCTTGAATAAAGGTCCACGAGAGACGTAAGGAAGAATCTTTACGGCACCAAGAGACATAACTGACGATGCTCCAGAATGTGCTGGGCCTCAGAAATCCACGAGGCACGTACACTCGTACGTGCGTTCCAAGTATTAACTGCCCCATAGCAGCAGCGATGGAAGTAGAAGAAGAATGAGAAGATCATCGAGAGAAAACTTACATCGCTATACTCCCCCCCGCGGCCAAACAACTCCTTCAAATCCGCCGCGAGGTTATCCCCGCTATTCTCCTCCTCGATCCTCGACACCCAATCGTCCTGCCCCGTGCACACGAGCACCTGCTCGGCGTACCCCGAGACGACACCATTGAGCGGGCTCTTGAAGTCAATGTCCAAGCCCTCGGGCATCGCCGGCGTCGCGGCGCACTCGCACGTCGGCGACGGACATGTCGGGACGAGCTCGAACGGCGGCGGAGGCGCCGATGGCCTGCTTGCCTGTGGCCTTGCCTTCGACTTTGGGGACGAGGACGATGATGGCGATGCTGAAGATGACCAGAAGCTCACGCTGGTAGAGAAGGTGCGCTGCTGCTGCTGCTGCTGTTGCTGCTGCCGCCGCGTCGGTAGCGATGACGTTGATGACGACACTGACGGGGATGAGATGGCCGCCGCGCGATGGCCTCGCGTGAGACGCGGTGCGGCTCTCGCTATCGAATGCATCATGTCCCTTTCGATATGTGATACCCGGATACGTCTTCTCGCCAATGCAATGCCAAGTGTGCACTCTTTTACTATGCCGGGATTCCGACGAGATGCCGGGCGTGCGTGTACCAGAAGGGGGTGGTGGGTGGCGTCCGCAACACCTCAGTCAGACACAGAGCCGCGATCGACGTCACCAATCGAACAGGAAGAGAGAACAAAAAAACGGGTCAGTTTTCATCAGATGCACGAGTACCTCCATACGATGAATAATACGACAAGTTTCCGCGGGATCGTAAAAAGGTGCCCCAGTGAGTTGAGGGAGTGCGAACTTCGCAAGATGAGGCGCAGATTGGTAATTGGCAATTGCAGACAGGTATCCATATCTCTCTCTCGGTAGTTGATTCACTCAAAAAAGTTCAAGCCCTCCTCGGCGCTCGCTGCGGACCTTGGCCCCGGCGCCGAGCGGGAGTGAGAGAGACCGGGACACCTCGAAAAGGCTACCCGAAACCCCCGGCGGGGATTTTTAAATTCTGTGGCGCCCGCGTAGCGATGCGATTCATGCGGCTGTCTGATCACTTCTCTTGTTGGTGGGCTTCTACACAGTAATGCATAGTAAAATGGTAATGTTAGGTAATCCCTCATTTCTCACTGGCGCGGCCGATAGCCGGCGGGGAGATGGAGAGCCCACCACCTGTCCAGTACCGATGTACTATGTATGTACGGATAGGTACCTTGGCCTGTAAAGTCCCCACGTTCCCCGATGTTTTCCTGCTTCTCGAGAACGGGTATCGCCGGCCGGCCGGTACTGTAAAAGTTTATGTCCGGCTGACACATCCCTATCATTCCGCTACGGACACGACTTCTCTATTCTACGATACTACATATCTCCCGCTGTCGTATGCGGCTTTGCACGTGATAGCAAATTTCCGTATCCGAACCCCGTCTGCCCGTTTCCAGGGGGTGAGAAGGGGGGGGGGGGGTGAACTCCGAAGGTCGTCAGTCCCGAGGCCCGGAGGAGGGTGAGGTAAGCAAAAACGCAAACGGGCCCCCGTCAAGGGTAGTTCATCCGCCTCGGAGCCGAATTTCGGATTACACCATGATCCTTCCATCGTCCATGTACGGAGTACTTCGTACCGTCCTAAGAGGGCCTTACCGAGTTCGGGCGGGAAACCGATTGAGTGAAAGACAAACGAGCAGCGCACGGGCAGAAAATGGGTAGGTAGCTTTCCAGGTTTCTTGTGCTCCGTACACTAAGTAGTATCCGTATAGCGCGCGCGGGAAACCCTTCACCCCTGGCCTGAATCCATGGAACCTATTTGATTTTCTATCCGCCCATATTCAGGGATTCCACGACTCCACGACCGGGGCGTGGCAATGTGGGAGACCGGACAGACACAGACGCAGAGAAAATGGGCAAAACAGGGCCTCATTGTGAAAAGAGTTGGTCGGACATTGAATACCAGAGCCAGCCTCCCATCAATCCAGCGCACATTTACCCGGCATCTCATTCAAAAACCCCGAATTAGGCTGGGGGGTCCGGGGGCTGGACCTGAACCTGCACTCTTGTTAAACGACGGGATGCCGAAGAACAACTCACGTTTTCTCTCTCAATCTCAAATCTCAAATCTCGATTTCACCGACCATGACCAGCTACAACGACCGGGTATCGCTCCCGGAGTGAATGCAAATCTCACCCGACTGGAGCGCAACCGTTCAAGAGGACTTTCTCCGACCTAGACTAGGAAATAGTAAATACTAGCAAAACCGTCGGCGCACTGTATGAAGCGGCAAAAGGCTCCTGATTGTCCCGTCGTCCAGTCCACGGCCCGGAAGTCAACGGCATCTAGCCCAGTGTGCCCCCAAAAGCTTGGCGATCGCGACACGAGGAGCGGAGAATTCGCAATCAACCTATTGATAGATGGCTCACAAAAAGAATGACGCGCCCACTGAAAGTATACGAATATAGATAAGATCCGTATCCGTTCAACTACCTAAATAACAGCGGATTATCCGTAGCTCAGTGTGAGAGATCTCAGATCCGGTTATTCCCATCCTCCGTGTCCGTGTCTGACTTGACTCTGGCACCTCTGCACATCATGGCCCAAGCTTCCGAGACCATGTCTTATAAGCCGGCAGGCAGGTATGGGAAGGGGGGGGGGGGGAAGCGGAGTGGGGGATTGAGACATGGGAAATCGCAAGGGCAAGACACAAACTACCAGAACCGGGCGAAATCAAATCATTGTGCGGCTCTTTTCGGGAAGCGGGAGTTTTAAAGTAGGGAGCAACCAACTGAGCAAGTCAGGGTGGAATGTGTGTTGTGGTCCGTGGATGGCATGGCCCACTAGGATCATGAAATAAATGGATGGGATGAGATGGAGGGAGGGGGCTAAGAACTTGGGAGAGACGATGGGAGGAGGGAACAGCACACACACCCTCTCCCAAAAGCCGCTTTTCTCTCTCCCCTTCCTGATTACCATCACTCATCTTCCTGTAAGTGAACATGTACTCCATACGTGCAGACAGTAAGGGTACAGATACCGTTGGCCTGGCAAGACCCCTCGACGACTCTCGTCTTCCGCGCCTATCCAAGCCCTCCGCGTACCGTACCCATGCAGAAAATTCAACAGAACAGCAAACTGCAAGTACTCTGTACAGGGGGAACGAGAAAGCAAAGATGCAAAGAAGAAGATGAGATGGAAAAAAATGCAGAGAAGTAACCGATCCCTCCCCCAAGATCCAGCAGGCTAAAAGCCAAGGGTACACGAAGAAAAGAAGAAGAAAAAAAAGGAAGGGGGAGGAGGGGGCAATGGTGATTGAGACTTTGAGTTGTTTGGCACTTTTCCTCCTTCTTTTCTTCCTATTTCTCTCTAGTAAAATCTGCACATCTGCAGAGTTGTATGTACCGAGACGAGACCAACAGCGAAGGGGAGAAGGAAAGAAAAAAAGAGAGACACCGCATTGCATTGCATGTCGTATCTGCTTTCGTGCAGCACCGCGAGATTGGACTCTCCACTGAGGGATGCCGAGGGGCAACAACGTACTGCGTACATACTTGCTTCAGAATCTGCGTGCTAAGGTATTTTCTGCACCATCAGCAGGAGCTGGCGGTGGTGGTGGTCGTCTCCACGACCGGTGTGTGGTTCCGCCTCACCGGTCCGACAACCCGATTCAGGTCGTCGTTGGTTCGCTCGCGGTTCCGCTCCAACGACTTTTTGTTCGCCAAGAACTAGCTCAGGTATCCGTAGGCAGGATCAAAACTAGACAAGGTTCCGTTGAACGTGCAAGTGAAGGTTGATCGAGGTTACAAAAACTTTGCAGAGAGTTGTGGCAAAAAAAAAAAAAAAAAACAGAGACGAAAAAGGACCGCCGTCATCAGCCCCCGTCGTCTTTCCTCTCTCTTTGCTGACCCTACTCGTGTGGTGTAGGTATCGGCTGAGACCGCCCTCTTTCTCAGCCCCAGCTCCTGTCTACCGCTGATCATGGTCAAGTACCTGAGGTAGAGTTGCATCCCGGGATTTAGACGCACCGTTGAGAAGCCGAGCCGACACATACCGCATGCCGCCTTCCGCATGCCAATCATGCGACTGACCTGAGACATGCAGACCGATCCCTCCCCCATTCTGCAGTGTTCACGGTACAAAGGGATGACATAGGGCAGAACAAGATGGAGACTGTGTGCGTGGTTCGGCCAAAGTGCTTGGGTGGTGTGTTCTCATCGCCCCTCTTTCGTCTACATACTGTAGGTATCGTGTTTACATGTCATGTTGCCTAGGGTGTCCTCCATAGGCTGCCTGCCAATATTCTCTCAACCACATGGGGCACACGTCCTATTCCTCTTCTCGGCTGCGCTCGGCCGTTGCGTTGTTTCCTTGGATTGATATCCTCATATACAGGGTATATAATGTTACATAGATGAACGAGAGCAACTGTCTGCATATACAGCCGTACTGTTAACAGTCTCTCCGATCCCGGGTTAAAAGCAGAAAAATAGCAATTGTCCAAATGCGCCCTCCAACTCCGTGAAATGCAATGCAAATTTGAAAATGACAGAAATGGCAACCATGGTTGCGGAAGTATGTCTTTCAGCCCCGCGTGTAAACAATGTCCGCGATAGGCCAGTATGTCGTGTCCATCGGATCCTTCATTTACCAGCATTTGCCCTCGTTTCCGTTGGCGAACACTGCTGCGCCAACCGATGGTGTTGCTCCGGGCTGAAGATCTTGCAGAAGACGTAGAGCGTCATGTCGATGTTCCAGTGCGGCCCGATGAATTCGTGCCTCGCCCAAACCATACTTGTAGCTTCGACTATCGCGTTTGCAACGGCCAATTGATCCAAAAGCATATGAAGGTCTGATAATAAACCCTGGGCAGTGAGAACATCGGCAGCCTCCAGTATCACATGGCTCATGAATGGAGGAGGCGCGCTCAGTGGGGTTCGCCGAGCTTGGAGTAGTGCTTTCAACATGCCCGTGATCTGCAGTACCTGTTTAGCTTCCTCTTGGATCCTCGAGAGGTATGACATCCGTTTTGCTGCCGAGATTCGGCGTGAGGCGTACGAGTGTCGGTGAACCTTTACGAGACCGTGGTGGAACAGAAGATGAATCGTAAGGAATGTGCTGAGGGTCCCAGCCTGAGCAGCCAGGTCCATATTGCTTGGGCTGTAGGTAAACTGCCCAGGAAGTGATCTACGCCAGCTGAGTAGCCTTCTGACAGAGCTTTCAACAATTATTGCTGGCTCTCCATCCGTGGGCAGACCGTGTTCATTCCTGTAGACTTTGAAAAACATCCGATTCGCATGGTAACCGGATGAATATGTCTATCGAGATGGCCGCACTGATCAAATCGTTTGCTTCGCAGGCTCTAGACGTAGACATGTAATAGACCGCCAAGAGTAGTCGAGATTGCGCAAGCTGAAGGCTGGGTGGGAGCTGTTGCTGCGCATATCGTGCGAACTGAGCGTATTCGGAGGCGATTGTTCTTGGACCACCTGACAAGGTGATCCCGACGGCGAGGATGCTATAGGTGAGCATCAGGTCTTCTGGAGACTTTGTGTGAGCATTGCCAGTCAATTAGAATTTAAACGGTGTCTTGGGCAAGAAACAAAGGGCTATGGTGCTGTCCGTGTGTACGAAAAAGGAGGAGATTACGGTGCTAACTGACTGCGGGTCGGAAACCTACGGGTCTGATTGCCATGCTCGGTGAAGCACGTCCTCGTGGATCCGAGGGAGCTCAATTGGCTGGCGGTGTTGCCAGGCGTTGACCTTTGCCGTCTCGAGCGTCCGGCTCATCAAGGCGGAAGAGTCGCTCGGCATCGAGGGGTACGAGTCGAAACCGAGGCGCATCCTCTTGTGAGGCATCGAGGGCTCTGGGCTGGGCTGACGGTACGTGGTTCGAGGAGAAACAGACGCGCTGGAGTTGCTCCCAGGTCGGTGCATGTCGTTCGAGTTGGCCGAGCCTCCCAGACGCCTCAAGTCCTCTGGTTCAGCAGGAGGCGTTGATGGGGAGGTGTTGTGGCCACCTCGTGGTCTGTAAAAGCCATCTCCATGTCAGTAAAGTAATGAAAAGATGGCGAGCTGCTTGTTGAAACCACTTACGCGTTCTTGAACTTGCAGATCCGGCCAAATTTCTCGCATTGAACGCAGCGAGGATAGTCAGGGTCGCACTTGATTTTCTTCTCCCTGCAGGTGACACACGCAATCGCCAGTCTCTTCCTTGGCTTCCCTGCCTTTGTCACACCCCAGTGAGCGTTGACTGCCTCGCCATCAATAACCGTCTTGCAGTGACTTCCATCATCGTAGAAATAACACATCCCTTCACCCGGCACTTCGGCGGCACGAACGAATCGTGGGAGAAAGTGACTCCCCGTCCATATCTTGGGGCCGAGACCATCCTTCGATGGGATTCCTTCCGAGGTCGTTGTACTGGCAGACGCCGATGCCTGCAAAAGACCAGGTCCAGAAGGGGAGCGCTGATCCCGGTAAGAAGAGCCAGAGTCTTTATTGCTGGAATACTGGTAGGACATCCTGTCATGTGAAGCCCGTAGTGGGGGTTGGTTCTCTCTGGATACCAAGGCGTACTCATGCTTTCCAGCGTCATGATGTATCGACCACTTGCTTCCCAAACCGACGTCAGATCTCGACTCGGGACGCATATGTTCGGATTCGCGGTATCTCGGTGACCCAGGGCCGGAAAAGGAACGGGACAAGCCATGCAAGGCCTGCCTCTCGTGGTCGTACCTGGCATCGTAGGTACTCCGTGGCTGGGACATCGTTGGAGAGCTTTCCTGAGGCGGGAAGTACGATGTGGCATAAGAGCGATCATTGTGAGGTTGCGGCATACGCGGGCGGTCCAAGGGAGACGTCGCCGGGTAAGGGGCCGGCCGCTCGGTCAGCGGAGAATGCAACGGCCGGAGTGGTGGAGGAGGTCCAAACAGACTGCTCAGTGATGGCAGTTGCTGGCGAGGAGCGCTTTGTGTCGAATCCTTACGGGACGAACCGCCTTCAGCACCTTTGCCGGCAGTCGACACATCGGCCGCCGAGCCATGTTCGTAGTTGGACATGGCAGGGGATATGGGACCAAACCTGGCGTCCCAGAGCTTTTCGGCAGGAGGAGATGGCCTGGAGGAGTAAGATGATGATGATGGGCTAACCAGCCCGGGCGGAGAGTCTGGGGCGGCCAAACGGGGATGAGGTTCCAGAGCTAGTATACCCATTGAGAAGGCGAATTGATGCCGTAGATGGGAGAGCCGTTTGGCATTGGCGACCTTGAGCACCTCGGGATGCAGTTGAGTCGAAGTTCACGGCCTCGACAGGCAAACAGCAAAGCCGGGAGAAGGCACGGGCAGGTTATATTGCTCAGGTCAAGATTCAAGCTAACAAAACCGGGCTGGCACACAGCTGGTATTAAGGTTTTATGCCACGTCCGGGGTGGCTTGAGAGAGAGGAGTCCAATAACCGAAAGGTCGTCAAAGATGCTCGTACAGGAATGCGGAGTGTCGGTGATATGGCGAGATCGATGAGACGGTTGATTTGAGAAGTGCTTCACGTCTCTTGTCGGCAACGGTATCCGATCAAACTTGGACGTGGTTGACTGGTCGTTCAAGGAGAGACAAGTAGGACGGAAGGAGGAAGAAGAGGGCGAGTGAGGGTAGCTTATAATGGAGCCGGGTGGCTTTTTGAGCAGTAGGGCAGGCGCGGAGAGCGCCTCAAGGTATGTACATCCTATTTACCACCCAAATGTATATACGTTCACGGGAGCTGTTACCCAGTTGCCCCCCTTCGGCCACACTCATCGTAACGAGCTGCGAGTGAAATAAACCGAGGGGCCCAAAGGAGACACTAAGGAACAGGACCAACAGACTGGATTGGCTTGGCTTGTTAGATTGGGGAAGGGAGCCGGAAGGGGCACCGATAGAGTGCTGCAAGTGTACACGACGGGTAGGAAGTACCGTTCGTTCTAGGCGCACACACGTGCGGTGCGTCTTCCATGACCCTTGCCCGTGTCTCCGCCATCTTTTCGGCTTGGCTAGGATCATGGTTGGGGGGTTAAAAGCCAAGCTAATCCGACTTAGCGTCTCGTCGGCACCGACGGCATGGCGTGGGACAGTGGTCTCGTCGATGGTTGCGAGAGGGAAGACGAGTCTCTGTCTTTCTCTCTGTACATCTCTCCGGACCATGTACTTTGTGGTGTATCCATACCTACACCACAGTGTAGAGTACGTATCTCGAAGGGAGACACAGCTGGCATTCCCTCATGGCATTAGTCTGACGGATAGGGCCTGTACCTAGCGTTGCAGCGCAATAAGGAACAGCGATGGTAAAATGGGGCAGTTGGGTCAAGTTATGCTCGATGAGGGAACCCTGGCTGCATGTTTACCAGGGTCCAGGAGAGAGTGGATGATGGGGGGTGAGTTGCAGCAGAGGGGTGACATGCGAAGCAGAGAAGAAAGAAGCCGCGAAGGGAGAGCTCCCGGTACATAGACGCTCTTGGAGGGCTGGTCAGGGATGATTGAGAGGTGGTAGGGGGGTTTTGCTTTGGGGATCCTTGGAAGCCGGGGGGGAGGGGGGCACGGGAAGAATAAGACGGGGGAGGCAGCGAAGGCGACAACGTGCGAGGCTTGGTCAAGGTCTGACGAGGGTGCAAATTCTGGCAACGACGTGACAGAGAGTACCATACTTTGTACTGGAATGAGGACATGAATCCTCCAAGCAGAAGTGTTCACGAATATATGGACCAAAAGAGAAGAAGTGATAGTTTTCGGAGCAGGACGAAGAAGTTCATCACTCCCTTGAGCATCTTGGTTTCGGATGTCTTAAATTGCCTCTGCTCATTGTAAAGACAAATTATAAAAGGCAAAAGACACGTGAAGCTAGACAAGATTGCCAGACTATGGATATTGGCTAAACCGGGGCCGATGCACTGCAGCGGCGGCGGCGAGTGCTTCGTGTCATTCTTCGTTGTTTTGCGTGTTGGACGTCTGAAGGATGCACGATGAGGGTCAATATTTCCTAATGATGCCCCACCCAGGATGAGCCCAGATGGCGGCATGGACGTAACGAGATAGGCTCGGACTGCCGGGCGAGAAAAGGAAATAACGAGAACGGTGTGTCGGTTGTTGGTTCATTCCAAGAGAGGTGGCTGTGGATCTCCGCGCGGGGTTTGGTCTCTAACAAATACCCATCACGTCAGGCCTGAGATTGTGAAAATGACGAAGAGGCAAAGTAGGTATGTAATTGGGTTGGCCGCGTTTGTCAATACACATATAGGATGTTCGTGTTGTACATACGGATTCTCGTAGGTATAAAGTATGATTGATGATTGTCCGGTAGACTTTGGACGAACTCTGGGTGAATCGGCCCAATCCCAGCACAGATATATTATGTCGGGGAGTTGGGTTTATCCAAGCGCTGTGCAGTTTGTGCATCGGATAGAGTTGCTGGTCCGCTAGCCTTCTTCTTTTCTCTAGTTGACACGACACCGGGTCATCAACCGCAATGAAGCAATGGGCGGACTGGTGAGAACTGAGAAGAAGGAAAAGGTACTTGACCATCCGGCGTGGGAGTCTGTGGCGCAAAAGTACCTACCTGCCTGTCTTGGGAGGGACTAAAGTAGTTCTTACAACGTCCTTGCGGGCTCCATGACGACAAGGTTGGATCCCCTGCAGCGATAGCAGAGGCTAATAAGACGAGTCCGGCATGTCTTCATTAGGCGGATCCCATCCCCCTGGGTACACTGTGACGGTACGGGGGCTGCGAAGATCTGGACCGGACCTGAGCTGGCCTGCAGCCGGCAGCGCAGCGTGCAGCGAGGGCAGAGAGTAGCTCAGTTCGGCGTGAAAATGGAGCTCAAGAGAAGGAATTCCGCACCGAGGCTTGCCGAACCATGCACAAAATCTGCACATGTATCGTGTTTTCAAGTGCTGTAACAAACGACATCAACCATTATTATTCTTCAGTCGGATTCTTCTTCGCGTTCGTGTGTCATCGTATGATCTGAGGGGCCGTTGCCAATTTGCAAACCCATAGATCCTCTCTTAATTTCGATTTTGTGAGAACATCTGAGGCGCATATCTCGGAGTAGCGCTGAGGGAAGGATGGAGAGTAACAACCATATGACTGGCCAGGCGCAGTGATAGGTATTCAGCAATCAGACAGAGCCTTTGGCCAAGATGAGTGCCTGCCGACAAAACTCTCGTCTTGGCGGCGGATTTGGCAGCCTCTCAGAGTCTTGGATTGGCGATCAACTGGCAAGACGAGACAGACCAAGAACGAGACGTGATTTTCGGGCTCGGTAACAGCCCGCCAGCCAGCCGTCAATGGCAGTAGCATCGACGCTAACAAACTGGGGGAAAAGAGAGGCAGGCTAGAGCCAGTCGTTGGTCTTTGTCGGTTGTGTGTCGTAACGAAAATCATTAGTGATGGCGCCGCTGGCCCGCTTCAGCGTTTAGCGTCCATGTTCATCCATCCTTGCGGTTGGGGACGGATAGGTTGCTCCCCATTCGTTCTTGATGTCGGTAGCTGGGAGTTTTCCGTGGCTCCGAGTCCGACTTGCCCGTCCGTTGTTGGATCCTCCGTCATTGGGACCGGCCGAAGGTCTTGGCCTCTGCAGTTTTGCAGTCGTAAACGAGGTGCCATAGGAGCATTATTTCCCCCTATTTGCCTCATAGTGGCAAGATACAGTATCCGTAGTTGAGAAATCCTTGAGAGGAACTTTTGGTGTCTGCACTGTTGAGCACGAGGCGAGGGAAGATCTTGGCTAGGGTGATGATGGAAAGCAGCCCGTAAGCAAGAAGGAAGGCCGCCACCAGGCCCAGGGCATTCCATTCCATCTGGGACCCTCATCTCGGCGGCGTCGGCGGATTCTGCGACTACATGTGGCGGCACCGAGGTATGTACGGAGTAGGTATTCATAGACAGCGCCAACCAAGTGCAGTGCATGTTGACAGTTGGACAGCATGAGGTTGGCATGGTTGGCAGATGTGGTTATGCCTCCAAAGAGTCGCAACGGACCGGTCGACGCCGCAGTTACTCTGGGGTTGCGTTGCATTGAAGAGTCGGACGACGGAGCACTTTTGGATAATTAGCAGTGATGTGCAGGGAAAATGCTGCTTAATAACGCAAGTGTCGTCAACGTGCACCAACGCAACCCAGTTTTCCCTGGATGAAAAGTCCCTCGGTTTCTAGGCTGAGACAGGCGATGGTTTATCGTTGATGAGGCACCGCACCCGGATCCGAAACGGAGGAGAGGGAGAGCCCAGAGAGGGAAGTGGTGAGGTACCTCTGTACTTACCTATCAGATACGTACAAGTGAGAGAGTTCTGGGGTGGCGCGGCGCGAAGCGAAGAGGACATGGGCGATCAGCCTTCAGGTAGGTAGGCCACTCGATGCTTGAGTAGCGTCCTCGCCCTACGCAGAGTGACAGATAATCAGGACTGCCAAGGCCCGTATGGGTTCTCTCGTCATGTTCGGCTCGGTGAGGATGGTGGGAACGACTGTGTATTCGGAGAGAAGCTGAATGTCAACGGTGAGGTGTGAAGGAAGCAGCTTCATCTACAGTACATTGTAATTCCACAGTACAAAGGTACCTTACCTTCCACAGTCAACCATCATATGGATGGTGCGAGATACGTACCGAGCGGTACCGAGTGGTACCAAGCGACGAGACATCTAAGCGAGCTACCACCCAAGGCAGTCTAGGGGCGGGTGTCTCCTCGACGGGGAAGGTGGAAAGGCAACCCCTTTTCCTCTTGCACAATGCAGAGGGAGTCTCCGCGTGCAATTTTTTCTCTCTTCCCCAGGCTATCACGCCAAGGTAAGGATAGACTCAATTCAATCTTCAGGTGGCTCAGCACACTCTAGGCTCTAGCAATGACAGCAGGCCGGGCGATTGGTCCGTCTGAAGCATCGGGGAAGATGCCGTGTATGGGTATCCGAGAGGGTAGCTGCAGGTCCCGTAGGGTGGCATCAAACCTTAAGCATGGGGATCGCGCTTGCGGGCTGGATAGGTAAAAAAAAAAGGTTGCTCGTAATGCTTGTTATTAGGAAGGGTTTTTGTTCAGAACCCATGGTAATGACTGAGTATATGCATACGCCTACGCCTGTCCATCAAAATGTTTCTAGGGTTGCCAAGAAGGCATTCGTACGGATAACATTTGACATGTGGGAAGAGACATTGCCATTCTAGTTGCATCTTGGATCCCGCCGAACGCCGCCGTGCAGCGGGCACACCCCATCCTACCTTACTCTGGTTGAAGGTTGAGACATTCTGCACCCGATTACCATTCGATTATTAGCTTATTGCTCAAGGCAACTAGACTTGGGCCAGAAAACCCCCCTGAGAGAGGAAACGAAAATTGCGCAGAAAAAAACTTGCGCATGACTATGTTGTATTATCTGCGACCCACGAAGACTGATTCCAGTCAGTGGCATCAGCCGCAACGCAACCCAGCTTTATGCAATACAACACCGCATAGCAAGCGAACATGAACTCCCACACATGCTCGCCTATCCGTAGTGGACGCTTGTGACCGAGGTAATATTCCGACTCGATCTAGACAGCAACCTGCATATAGACTGCCTGCACGGAATGCTGAGTACCGCAGACGCGAGACACGTTCAGCTGGTCCAGGTTTTCCTCTCCTAGCCTAGCCTAGCCAGCATCGTTACTTCATGAAGGAGGGCTGCCTATGTTCGTATTTCCTTGTCCATACGCGCGAAAGGACAGAGACCATATTCGTTTACACTTACATGTCCGATTTCTTCCTTGCGCTAAAGCCAAGATCATGGACATTGTGTCCCTATGGGTGTATGAAGGTTGCAAGACAATTTTGTCCGGGAAAGGGGATTTTACCCAGCAGAAAGATAGTTGCCTTACAGTTTCTTCAGACATACAGATTGATAAACAGAGCAGACTATGGCAGCGACCAACAATAACCGGGCAAAATTCAGAACAATGAAAGGTCTGAACTAGGGTACTCCGTAGTTGTGCAGGTTCACTCCGGAGCCGGGAAACCGGAAATCCCGGGGCATGTGTGTGATCCGAGGGCGGGCGAGACGGGTAAGGTAAAGTCGTCAGTGACCGGGAGCCCATTCCAGTGGTCGAGCAACGAGACACCACACACGTGTCCGGACGGAGTAGCGCGCCGATGAGGTGCTCAATCGTTCAATATCAGGAGAGAGGGCGTGAGACCGGCGACAGCCACTTTGGTCAGAAATGCCCCCACATTGCAACTAAGTCCCAATGAGGTAATGGTTTCGATAACCGCTAGCTAATAATCTCACCTCTAGCCCAAGACAATGATTGTGCACTAACACGGCAGTGCACGGGTGCCAGAGGATCACGGCCCCTCTGTGTCTCTTGGCAGAATAAGCGTATGTCAAGATCGTGACCCTTAGTAAGGCCGCGGGCGACTCTTATTCAGGACCTTGACATAGAATCTCACTGTCTCGATATTTAGTCAAGGCATACACAATAGACAAGTTGAGGGCCTAGGTTCTGGGCTAAACCACAACGATTACTAGGTAATGCATTTCTATCTATCTCACTTGCCAAGATACGCAATTGTCATTCTGGGTTAAGCTCAAGCGCCTCTGGCTGAGACAAGAAAACATGGCTATTGAGATGATCGAGGCGTTACAACCATGAGTCCCAAGAACGATTGAAGATACTGTTAGGTAAGATACTAGGTAAGCTGGTGCTCGGTGGCTCGATAGCTCAGTGTATAAGTCATACTGGAGAAAGATCAAACCCGGGCGGGAAGGACCCTGACTCAAGGGGTGCACGTGCAGGAGACGGCAGTTAACAGGACGAAAAAATTGATAAAAGAAATGCGCGTTGAAGAATCGTCTAGGAGAGAGCAACTTGGAGCAGGAACATCCTACCTCTTTGGAGTGTGCAAGAACAGAGGTACCCGTACGAGTGATTGGCAAGTGCATGAAACAAGGACCCCAACCCTGCGCGCCTGCCCTGTTCGGAACGTGAGATGAAATAAAAAAGAAAAAGAGGGAAGGGCCGTCCAGGTTCCCGCTATGCCTGCGCATTCAACATTGCCCCAAGACCTAACTCAGGTATCCGTGGAGTGCTACCTAAGTAGATTCAATCCCTGAAGAAGAAATCCGGAATTCTGGAATTTGTCGGTGAAACCGGGAGGCATGGTTTGGCGACAGGAAGGGGGGCCGGCAGGCGAAGGTGGCTTCCCACTCGGATCCATTGACGAGCAAGGAAGGAGGGAGGGATGGAGGTATTCACCCATCGAGCGAGCGAGGATGAAGGAAGGAACCCTCCAAGCTCAACCCAGGCAGGGGAAGGGGACGCTTGCGGAAAGCTGGCTCATGAGGTACCAACCACCTACCTATCTACTTACCTTACATGTAGGGCACGGATAGATAAGGAAGGAGACGGGAAACTTTCAAGTTGCCCGAACGCCTCCCCAGTCCCCAAGCTCCCTTAGGTTAGGTTTGTAGTGCTTCTTGCCCAAAGTATCTTGATACTACCTAAAACCCTTGAGAAGTTGAGGCGGACTCCCGCTCGCTTCATGGGCTTGACTAACGTTCCTGCCTACTCGCGAAAGGAAGGTAACGTAATATCTCAGGATGAGGATTCAAAGGCGCCGACAAATCTTGGCTAAAGTTCTTTGCTACGCCATTAGGTTTTCGAGGCAAGGTACCTAGTATGGATACGGTCCCCGTACGAATACAGATGCAGAGTAATAAGGCAAGGTACCAACATGAAGTGTTGCCTACCAAAACCCCGGTCGCTGCTACCCTTGCGGACATCCTACGGGTACGGACACGGGGGCCGGCGGTTGACGATGTGGAGACCAACGTGCCCGGTGAGTTCAAACTTTGCAAGAGCACGGCAGTTGTGAACTTTCATACACTACTTGTCTCCCCGTGCCGGTTTCCTTGTCATGATGGGAACAACGACACAATCTTCAGATACAACATGATATATCCGTATTCTGTGCACCTTAGTGCTGTTGCATCGCCTGATTGGTATACAACCTTCCTTCGCCAAGGTAAGATACCTGATGATGAGGTATTGCTTGCTAGCAGATCGAAAGTTTCCGTACCTAGCCGGACTAGGACTCTGCCTTACGTAAGTTAGCTACGGAAAAAGTACCTTACGGATACCTTACCTTAACTTGAGGCAAGAACCATCACTGCTTGCCTGCCCGAGTTGCCCGCACAGGCCACATCGTGTCTTTCCCATTCCCAACGACAAGTTCCACTGGCAGATCCATCAAGACATCTCTTCCTATCTGTTCCATCAATACTCAATCTGGTGAGAATCTCCCACATCATAAAACCAATAACCACAAACGCAGCACAAATCTGGCACAATCACTCATCGGGATCAATTGACGGCCCACGCTCGGCTCAACTCCTGTCCCTTGCCCATACCGGCCCCCCTACTAGTCAACTCGCTTCGAGAAAGAAGGAGAGACATGGCGCCAGGCGCCTAGCCCCCCCCCCCCTTGGCTGACAGCAATTCCCAAGGGACTGGAAATGGTTGCATGCACCTCAGGACATACCCCCTCCTTTTGGTATTGTCTCCAGACCCACGAGTCCAAGACGCCGCAATGGCAATTTCCCCCTCCTTCGCTCTCCATCGCCCTCTTTCGCGAGCAGTAAGTTCCAATACGGAGGACACATCCAACATGTTCAGGGCCACCTTTATCCAAGCTATGCCGAGACCTCGATGCTCGCTCAGCCCGCAGGGCTCAGGAGCCTGTCCGACAAAGCCTAGGCCAGCCCACTACTGCGTACAACAGACAGATCACAGAGGCACATTCTTTTACCGATGCGCATTTCAAGGAGCTAATACCAAGCTTGCCATGGATGGAAATCCATGGCGTTCGCCCTGCTCGTCTGGAGGTCCCATACCGAAGGCAAAAGGGAAACCCCCTCGATGCGCTCGAATCGATGGCGTATCCGTACGAGCACACTACAGAGGCACAAACACTGTGAACCCTCCCCCGGAAATGGGTCTCGACACTCACCCGACCGACCTACGAATACGCTGAAAGGGTGCGATATATCCTAGCTTGGGTTCGTGGACCGCACAATTGGCATCCACTCAGCGGTCACTCCATGTCGACGGTCGACGCCAACGCCAACGCCAACGCCAACACCGGCAAACCCACGACCACCATGGCACCAACAACACTACCTCACCCACACCCGCGCCCAGGATCACTACACGCTAGCTGTTACGGCGGGAGCACTGCAAATTGAGAAAGGTCTCTAGCCCACCTCGTCTTCGTAATTCGGCAAACGAGAGAGTCCGATCAGCCCAATCGCCTGATTAGTGCTCCAGATTAAATGGAGTCCCCTCTGAATCTGATCCTCGCAACATTCTTGGCCCTGGGCGTCTGCCGAGGAACGACATGGAATTCGACATTTCTTAAAGCCGGACAGCACCGGATTTGCAGCCGCGCCCGGGGCTCACTCACTCACTCGCACGAGATCAAAGGGCGAGATCCGCTGTGGGCTATTGCAACCACGGCTTAAGGCTCTTTTCGCCTAGCACCCGCCTGCCAATGCACCGCTCCACCCTCGGCACTCGAGAAGCCGCCCAAGCGCCTCGTAAAATGCCGTGACAAGTCCCGGAGATGGACCAGACCACACCTTATATCACCCTGAATCTCGTCAAAGTCCCGAGACTCGGGTTGCGCCCGTTGCTCGAGGGCGCCTCGGTCACTCACGTTGATTACGCCACTCGTTGAACATCTCCCTTCACGAGTCATGTTTCCGCGGTTTCACCATTCTGACTTGCTCATCATCACTCGGAACGGATGGTGTTCCCGAAGCCTTTCCCCGCCTACCGCCCCTTCTCTCCAGTGAGGCTTGGCGAAGGGCTCATATTTTGTCATGTTCGACAGCATCGCAAAAGTCCCTGAATCATATCTCGCCCACCCTCCGGCCGAGAGACCGTTGATAGGGAAATGCACCGGCTTTGCCGCGCGAGAACAGACCCATCAATTGTCACGTCAGTTGGCTCCTCTTCCTTCTGCCAGACCCATATGGCGGCCGCTCGCGAAAAGCCCCGCGGTTTTTCTTGTTCCGATTATACGAAGCCTAGGGAAAATCCTCGATCAATTCCTGCGCAAATCCCACCGCATGACCATTCTGTGAGCCGAGGCCATGATGACAATTTTGTCAAGCTCGCAACTCACTCCTCGAGAGAATCTCATCGAATATCTTGGTCAGGAATGTGATGTTTGGCTTATGCGGCAGATCACCACAGAGGATTTGTTCGCCATATTATGTTGCTCAACCGGCTTCTATCACGATCTTATCGATGACGGTCCACTGCAGTTCTTAACGATGCAAGCTATGATGCTACGCAGCCGGCCATAGCCCATGGAGAACACTGGTCACACAGCAATCCAGGATGTGGGAATCTGTCACTGTTAGAGGTGTGACGGGGCAACGGCAGTTCTTCATCACTAATTCCTTATTGATGCGTCGGTCCAGGGGTCTCTCATTGACAAGCCTCAGCCCTCTCGACTATTGACAGGGGCCTTCTTAACAAGATCGACAAATTAGACTTGGTCCCCTCGGGGCAAGTGGCTGGTTCTCCCGCCCGAGTAGGCGTTCATCTAGAATACCGCAAGTTTCAAGCAATTACCCAACCAAAGAAGGCAACCACAGCGACCAATACACCACTTTTGTTTTCTGGAATAAACGCCGTCCCACAGCTTCCGGTCCGAATAGACAGAGCAGGAAGCAAATATTCCTTCTCTATGCGGAAGTATGGTCGTTCTCAAGCCAACGCCTCATTTTTCTGCGGTAAAGAAGACATGGTCCGCCGTATACAGCGGTTGATCGAAGATTCTATCCGTCTGGCCATCCAGGCACAACTAGAGCCCGCCTTGCGGCCGCTGTTCGCGACTCATGACTGGTTCATCGTTCGGAGGAGAGGTCGTCCTCACCTCAGTGTTGACCACAAGCAGAAGTACGGATAGTAACTTGTAAGAGTTTGACCCGTTTGCACAGACACTCGTTGCGGATGGGATGACAGCTGTTCATTCACTGCAACGCCGCCGGAATCACCTACACGATGCAAGGACCATGCCAGTATTGGCTGCAAAAGGGCAGCGCTAGCTGCCACCAGGAGTCCCTCTGGCTGTTCTAGAAACCTGCGGACCTTCTGCGCGCGCACGTCGCATCCCATACACAACAAGCCGGGTTTACTGCAGGATTCAGGTCGATCTGTGGCTTGAGGCGTGACAACCGACCGACTTCCTTTTCGAGCTTGCAGCCCGATTCTATCTTCCGGTTGGTCTCCAGGCCGGACCATCAATCGGCCGTCATGCTATTCCGTTACGCACGTATGAGTTTCACGACCAAAAGCCGGCCAAGTATAGCTTACTATCAAGTACACCGGACTCAAGCCGATGATGGCGGGGGGGGAAACGTGGCATTTCATCGTGGAATCGCTTACCAGTACACGTCTCGGTATCATCGCGCTGGGACCTATTGTACGAGGCATCTTGTTGAAACCACCTCAACTACCTGAGGTGTGGTGACAGAGAAACATCGCGCAGACACTGGCCTTCAACACACACCGCGCCGCAACGGTGCATCTGCCCCTGCCCTGCAATCAGGAGCAGAGTGCGCTCGCTCATCTTGTTGTCTGCTGCATAATTCCAGGGGCCGAATCCTTTGTTCAAACCTGTTCTGGAGTTTGCGCTGGTTTGAGCAGATGCATATCACAAGTCCATCAGCTGGCAGCAAAGCTGGATGAGAGGGACTTTTCTTACTCCGCATAGTTGGCTGCTACTTAAGATCAGTCCCTTTGGCCTAGCATGAGCAACCCGCCAATGGCTGTGTCATCACGAGAGTTAGTACTCTCCGAAATGCTGAGTCCCAGTGCCGGCATTCAACTTGACGCACGACTTTCCCCAACAGGCGCCATCAAACAAACTCCAGTGGAACTGAATTAAGGAGCCACGCTTCAGCAAACGGTAGCTATGTGGTTGTTCTGAGCCGATTCATTTAGCCTGTACAACGGTTGCTACGATAGAGGCAACACTTGGGAGAACTAACGGCTTGTCTTTCCCATATTTCCAATAGGGTACGATATTTTCGCTTCACCTTCCTCAGTCCTTTGTATTCGCTCAACCACAGAGGGCCATACCCTTGCGTGAAACGAGGTTGGATCTAGTTAGACTCGGCATTGCGCTCCGTCCAACAGCCAACCCTGCCCAACTCAGGTCGACATCCCGATGGCAATCTTCGACAATGGCTGCCGCTGAACGGTTTCCCGGGAAGGGCTTCTCCAAAATTCCTGTCACCCTGTCTTGTTATTCCCCACATCGTCGTTAGGCAGCAGGATAACGGGATGCCGCCATCACCACCCATCGAGATTAACCACGGTATGCTGCTGATCATCTGAGATGGGATCAGCCCGTTCAACGTTGAGCGTTTGTTCGGAGCTCAAACGCACGACGGGATCGTAATATCACTTCTTGCTGCCTTGATCAACAACATGCATCCACTCGAAACGCAAACTCGGTTAGAAGTCACCGTGGGTTCCGGGCTGGAATCACCGCGACCTACACCCAGCGTACACAAAACTGACATGTCAGCATCATCCGAAAAGCCCCTACTAAGCTTGGCCATACACCCCCTTCGCGAACGAGCCGTCCATGGGTGCTGAATTCGCCGACGCCCCACTTCCGCCTGACTTCCGGTGGCTGCTTAGCAGGGGCAAAGTTCACTGTAACCGTCTCGACAGGTCGGCAGTGAAAAGACGACCAGGGCTGTCACAACTGTAGAAAGTTTATCGCCAGAATAATATCTGATGAAAAGCAAAAGGAATGGCACACACTCTGGCGTTACAAGGCTGATCCAGAGTGTGCCGTCGACTGACGTGCGGAGAGAGGTGCTTCCAATTCGGCAGATGGCTCAGCTACTGTGTACTACGTACAGGCAGACAGGCAGCATCAAGTCAAAAGGCACCGGCACGTCAAGGTAACGAGTCGACGGACTCCACAGTACGATAAAAGGCAATGCGAGACCTCTTCCTCAACTAGGCACATCCACTGCCACACCATTCCATGATCTTAAGCTCCGAGCCAGCTCGGCAATTGAGATGTTGAGGTCATGTCTTTCACCCTCTACACCCTGTGGGCAATAACTCAGCCACTGAGGTAACCAGCGCAATTCATGGATGGCACGTGAGGGGCAGATCGCGGTGCGGAATCCAGCATCCCTGGGGTCATATTCCCAAAGAGGCTTCACAAAGCGAATCAAACTCTTAGTGGCTCCCCAGCTCGATCGGACGCTAAACAACCGCCCTCGTCCATGGAAAGGAACTTGAGATACGGAGTACTGGGGAAGGGCCGAGCCAATTGTACTGTGGGGGGAGGGCTCATTACTTCATCCTCCACAATGCCACGCCTTTGCGGAGCTGATTATCACCCAGGACGGGCGCGGCTCAGGCCATGTTGGCATTACGGGGCCTGTTGGTGCGGTTGGCGCACACATCGTATGAGAGAGGGACCGAGGAGGGCCAAGAACAAGGTCAGCGACCTTCCACTTTGATCGGCCCCCAAGTCACATCCCTTGTGTGGGCGGCAGCGGTGCGAGATATCAATTCTCATCGCTAGTCTGCCTCGGGGGCTGGAACAACGGGCTCACCATACTCGCAGCTCGGTCAGGCTGGAACGCTCGCTGGGCATTGGACGCCGGTGGCTGACGATAGACGGGCCCGTCCGTTGCTCAAGGCTCGAGCGACATTCCATGCGGCCTTCTACCACCGCTGATAGCAGGTACATGTTCCACCATGCTCGAATCTCGAAGGCTAAGGGAGGGCTACGTCCGACTTTCCTACGCACTTGCGGGCGTGGCTGCCATGCGTCCACTCCCTGAATCTACGCAGTATCTACAGCCATGTGTCCGGCACCCATCCAGTCAACACCTTTTAGTGATGCATCGGGCGGTCCCTGGCATTACAATTTACTCATCGTCTGCAGGTCCAGAGAGGGACCTGCCAGTCTTACGCCAAGGATTTGGAACTGTTGCTGCGCTCAGCGGCAACAGGTTGGCGATACGAAACCATGGGTTTCTTGAATATACCGGCAGCTGTATGGGTAAATCACTCTTTGTGAACTTTCTAGAGCAAAGTTCGGATGAACGATCAACGGGCCATTTGTTTGAAACGACTTTCGGAAAGGACTGAGATGCGATGTTGCGTTAAAAAGCTGGCGTCACATCGTGTGCGGACAACAGCTTACTGAGGCATACACTACAAAAAGGCCTCTCCGCTTCGTCTAAGAATAGCCGCGGTATTGCACACCAAAACCCCCAAATCTATGACCGAAATCCTGGAGAGCAGATCCCCAGGCCGGCCGCGATGATACCCCCCGGGCCCTGCACCTCGGAGCCGTTGTCCCCCTTTCTGAGGATGACGTGGGCCCCCATATGTATTCGAGCCATTCCAAGTCCAGCCATCGTTCCGTGGTCCTGATTGAAGGAAATTTTGCTTCCGGCGCTGGTTCCCAAGCTTTCCAACACCAACGGCTGGACTGGGGGGTCACCTGTCAAGACAAGCCCGGCTCACCTGGGGAGTAATCCTAGACATGACACACAGCCGGCCGCTACTTTAGTCCTCGACAGCTACCGACACTGTTCTCCCGCGGGCGACCATGCCTCCATCAAACTTATGGATAGCCGATGTTCCCCGTTTGAGCGCACCGAATGCACCAAAAATCACCTACCGCGTGAGCAGAGATCAGATAGCGCAGCAGCCGAACCGCTAGCTTATCCAACGAAACCATGGCCTTGGGAGACCGTCATCCGCCCCTAATGCCCCTGGTGTCATGATATCCGCATACAGATATGGATTCTGTGTAGACACATGAGGGTCCAAGAATGGCCATTTCCATTCATTCGAATATTCGCCCACTACAACTGGAGGGGCTCCAGAGCACTACTTCACAAGTTTTGAGGACACTTCATCCTAGGCCATTAACGATGTTGAAGGTAGGCCGCAGCCGAGAGTCAAATATCCGATGCATCGGGTAGTTCATTTAGAATTGGCAAGCCGGGGTGGCTGGACGCTGAGAGAGGACTGCTACCGTGAACCCTCACGAAGCTCAGTCTACTCTAGCCGTACGTACACCTGCTATGTGCAAGGCGTCAGACTCCAGAGTCAGCCAGTACACTACTCCGTACTGAATAGTCCATACCACAAAGCCGCTGAAAAGGGACCCTTCATTCGCTCCGAATGAGCCGGATGTGGCGCTTAGCTCACTCTCTGATGGAAGAGTACGTCGGAGCCCCCGTCTTCGGGATTTGTTCGTTTATCGCATCTAATGCCGACCAACGTCCGCTCAGCGCGTTAGATGGTCTGACCAGCAGCTAGCCTTTGTATAGGTTGTTTGAAACCCAAGGATCCGGCAAGTCTTTCTTCGCGCATCGCTCGCCACGAGGAGCACTACGAGCAGCTGCAGAGACGCCATCACAGCATCCTACGTGCCTACTTTCCTAGCGTTGTTGCTGGTCTGCCGCCCAGCCAGAGGGCCGTCTATCCTCAATTATGGTATGGCGTGCGCCGCCCACGCGGCGATGAGATGGGATGGCTGTCCCATGGATCCGTCTACGTCGCACGAGCGACAGCCAGAGACTCAGAGTATGCACGCTCTCGCGTGCTTCTCCTCTGGAATAAACGTACTTGTGCAACTAAGTATTGGTCTGTTACTTATTACCAATTTGTTATCGTCGTATAGTCCATCCGTAAGGCTAACTCGCTGCGGCACTGCGGGCGACGCTTGCCAGGGGTCATCAGTCTAACCTTTCGGGACTTGGGTCTTTACAACATGGCACCACCATGGCAATCTGGACCTGGGCCCTGTCCACGGCAGTCGTTCTTATTGGCATTTGTGCGCCTGGCCAAGGGAACCCCGACGCTGCATCCAACCGTTTGCGGCGCATCAAGAAGGAAAGAAAATTACGGTGCCTGGCCAAAGCTTCCTTCCCCAAGCACGCTCTGGGATGGCCCTGGGCTTCCTGGTCTCTCTGATGCAGATGATGTTGGTGGATTTGAGGCGGGGCCGATGATGGGGACCCCAGTGCCGTTGCGCCGTGGGATGAACGGCCAGAAAGTTTTGGCCCATTGCCAAGATTGGCTATCGGCACTGGACATATTGCCTTGCCATTTCGATGGAGGAGCCGCCTCTTCAGATTTTGCTGCTTTGAAGCCCTTTGACTGGCCCAAACTGCCCATCTTTCCTATGCTATCCATCGACGGCCCGCCACATGTAAGAGAGGCAACCGCTGGAGAGGGGAAATGATGGTCCTGCCAACACGAACTTTCTCTTTCTTTCCCTTGGCGGATGATCTGTGGTTCTCAAGGGGGGCAGTCGGCCATCGAACCATCCGAGTGGTGGACGCCATGCCTACGGGACGACGGAGCCCAGTCAGCTGCGGCTCCGATATCACTAGTCCCCGTCAACCTGGAGGAGTCTCCGCCTAGCCGACATTTCATGTCTATCATCTATGATGGTCACGTCCTGCGACATAGGCAAGGGAGACATTCGGTGGGAGGACGTCACGCATCTTGGAACAGGACAGCAGAACTGCCTAGGTCCTTCGGTCTCGATTGTGAACGAACTCTCGCCTCGGGCAGACTGGGAGCGATGGACCAACTCCCCCAGTGCTAGGCCTCCTCGGTCAACTCAACAGACCGGCGTTAATACGAGCCACGCAAGCCCAACCATCCTAGGCAGGCCGTTGAGTGAAGGCCAACTCAAAATGAACCTTATGCACCTGTCGCGCCTCTTTGGAAATTTCCCAGCCAACAGGGTAATTTCGTGAATCCGACGGGCGAATGTTACGCCCGCGTCTGCCTTGCATCGCGATCAACAGCCGCCATGCGGATGGCCTTTCCGACCTGTCGACGCGGACCTTACTGAGCGTCCCAAGTTCACCTACCCTCTCCTTTTGCGGCATTGGACTAGCTCAATGGAAGGAAGGAAGGAAGCGGCAGGAACCTCTCAAGATGTCAACGCAACCATTGCAGAAGTTGTCCCCTTCCAATGATATGTCAGTGTGCGCTTCTTAGCCCCGGGAGCCTTGTACACTTTGTACAAGATGGATGGGCTGTTAGCCTGTGGCTGCCAAAGAGGGAACCATGGTGTGTGTGCACCTCGCCGCAACTGTGCAGCACGCGCACATGCAGTAGGCAGTCCTCGAGGGTGCCCTCGACTCCCTATACTGCAGCCATTCTGTCTCGAGGGTCGAGCTCACTCACACAGACAGTGCAAGGGCGATGTGGGCATCGGCTGGCGGAGATGGCATCCCGCATCGCCTGTCGAGCAAAGCGCAGTGGCATGCGGGCGCGTGCCTCTCGGTGTCTGAGCACATCTTTTTCGTCCAGTGGGCCCGATCCGTACAGTTGGGACGCCCTTCGTCCAAGGCGCTGGATGGCCCATCTCGAACAAGCACCTGGCATATGTCCTAGTATATGCCAGGACATATGTTGGAGAGACAGCGCCCCGTCCAAAGGGGGAAGAAGGAGACCGGGCCGCGGAGCACAATCTTTGTGGCAAGCTCGATCGGGACAGGTTACCGAGGCGAGGAGGAATTCGTTCCAAATCTCGTACGTAAAGCTGGGCAGTGGAGGAGCGACTGAGAGGCACAGTTGATTGGGTTTTTGCTCGCTTTCTGACTGGTACGGAACGATTGGGAGATGACTGGTCTCTGCGTCGTTTGCTGTCTTCTTGTCCACGGCGCGAGGGAATCCTTTCCGTGAGATAGATTCCCGAGGAGGGAGGCATATGAATCTCACCGAATGCAGGACGGTGAGCGAAAGTGCCACGCAAATCTGTGAGGCACCACTCCTTCCATCCTTCCTTCCTTTCCTCCTCCCTCCTCAAATCCCATCCCTCTCTGTCTCTGTTTACTATTCTCCTTCTCCGGCAGGCAGGCTGGCAGGTTACTTGGCCCTCCTAGCCGAACGCAGCAGAAGGAGCAGCCCACATACGGGAACGACATACGGATACAGGGAGGGGATGGGGAGGCGGAGGATGAGGGTCAAGGACGATACAGATGGCCCGAATGTAATCTCCCTTTCCCTTTCCATCCCCCCTTCACCGGGTCTGCGGCGCAGGCGTCATGGAACGAAGGATGAAGGAGGCCGCATGTTCGCTGCATCTACCAATCTGCACTGCTGCACGAAGTCCCTCTGGTGTCGTCATTGCTGCTCCTCCTCCTCCTCCTCCTCCCCTCTCTGCCACGCTTTACTTCCTTTTTCTTCAGTTCTCCAGTGCGAGATAAGGGACATGGGTGAGTAGAAACGGCGATGGAGTGGTCAGTACGTATATAGACGCACCTACACGTATCTTGACGTTCATCTGGAAAGTATGTACCGGCAACTATTAATTGCTCCAACTGTGCTTGCATGTAGTCAATATATTTGACCATTGAGAGGGATAGGCGTAGGCCCCGGAGACAAACGTACACGTCCATCAACCCCCTCGATGGACTCTGCATGATGTGCCTGTCTCCTCCAGACATGTCTATCTTCCTCCATTTGAGCAAGCCTAGAGAACTAGAAGACGAGGATACCTATGTCCATCCTGTTTCATTTGTAGATCGACCTGAGGGAAGAGATTGGCTACTAAGCCCCTTTCTGTTTTCCCTCCTCGCCCTGCTGCATAGCTGAGGCCGGAAGCAGGTAAGGCAAGCAGGAAGGAACTTCGGGCCTTTTTCTCTGTCTCTCACACACACTCTCCCCTTCGTTACCTTTCGTTCAAGTACCCGACAGTTTTGTGGCCTTGTTCCTGCTAAGACGAGTAGAATACACACGTCAGTCAAGGAGGAAAGAGGAACGAGATGAACAGAGCGTAGCACATGTCAATCACCAAAGTTAACGAAAAAAAGAAAATTCGAAAGAAAGCTATGGTCGATAAAGCCAAAAAAAAGCTATAGACAGGATAGACAGGATAGACGGGACTTCTCGATCTTCCCTTGCCCTCTCACTTTCTTTCCTCAATACTATTCCATTTCCCCTTTGCCCCCTACCCTTTCCGTCCCTTCCCTTCCCTCCCAATCCCAAGCCATTGTGTATGTGTATATTTGTAGTCTTTGTTTTAGTACCAATGAAAAAGCCAACCCGCCCCTCCTGGTGGAAAAACAAAAAAAGGTTTGATTTTTTTTTTGTGTGATTTTGTCTAATCCGCTTTCATATCCCATTCCTCCGTCAGTGATGCTGCTGCTGTACCCGAATGCTAAAACCACACCTCCCTTTTTTTCTCTCTCTGTCCTTTTCTGTCTCATTTTACCATTCTTGTTGGTTGTTACCGGAAACGTGAAAACCCCCTCTCCCCTTCTGAACCAACCCCCTGCTCATAGGCATAGAATAGCCGGTGTCAAGGTAGGCAGGCAGACCGGGGAACAAGGTTGATGCAAAGTATTTGGAAAAAAAAGAAGTAGAAAAAATCAGCCCACCCAGCGTCTGGCGCTCTTGAACATCCTGACCCACGGGCCGAACTCTCCCCAACCCTCGACCTGCTCCGTGGGGACGTAGCTGCCGACGTCCGCCATGATGGTCCGCTCGGGATGGGGCATGAGGGCAAAGACCCTGCCGTCCCTGCTCCTGACGCCAGCCACGCCGCCAGGGCTGCCATTCGGGTTGTACGGGTAGGCTTCCGGCTCCGCGGCCTTGAGGCGGTTGTCGACGTAGCGGAGAGGCACGAGGCCCTCGCCGCTCAGGTCCTCGAGGGCGTTGGGGTTGGAGAAGGAGGCGCGACCCTCGCCGTGGGAGACGGCGATGGGGAAGGACGAGCCGTCCATGCCGTGGAGGAAGACGGAGGGCGTGGCGGCGCGGGACTCGTCAATCTTGACCATGGCGAAGCGCGCCTCGAACTGCCTGCTGGCGTTCTCGACGAACGTGGGCCAGTTCTCGGTGCCCGGGATCAACTCCTTGAGACGGGTAATCATCTGGCAGCCGTTGCAGACGCCCAGGGCGAAGGTGTCGGGTCTCTTGAAGAAGTTTTCAAACTCCTGGCGGGCGTGCTTATGCTCGAGGATGGACTGGGCCCAACCAACGCCGGCGCCAAAGACGTCGCCGTAGGAGAAGCCACCGCCGGCCGCAACACCGACAAAGTCGGCGAGTGAGCGGCCTGCGAGGACGTCGGACATGTGAACATCGATGGGGTCAAATCCGGCGGCCTTGAAGGCAAAGGCCATCTCCTTGTGACTGTTGACGCCGACCTCGCGCAGGATGGCGACGCGAGGTGCCTTGCGGAGGAGGCTGCCGAGGGAGGCCGTCAGGGGCATGATGTTCTCTGACGGAGAGAAGGTAAGGTTGTACGACAGACCGGGGTCGGCCGAGTCGGAGACGATGGCGTACTCGCTATCTGCGCAAGCCGGGTTGTCTCTCTCCCTCTGCATGGCGTACGACGTCCTCGACCACCACTGTTGCATCTCGGCGCGGTCAAGGCTGACGATGGGGGTGTGGCCGCCGTAGCGGATGTTGAGGGTCTGGTTGCCCTTGGGCTGGACGACACCGAATGTGCGGACGAGGCCGGGAGGAGGACCGCAAGTGGCGAAGCAGCGCTTGAAGTTGGTCTCGTCCTCCTTGCGGACCTGGAAGACGGCCCCGAGCTCCTCGTGGAAGAGGGCCTCGAGAATGTCGTTGGGGGAGCCGGACTTGGCGATGCCGTCGAGCATGAGGTCGGCGCCGCAACGGCCGGCGAACATCATTTCGGCGACGGTGGTCAGGAGACCGCCGTCCGAGACGTCGTGGTAGGCGAGAACGACGCCGCTCTTGTGTAGTTGCTGCAGAGCATCAAAGTAGTCCGTAATGAGATCCACGTTGCGCACGTCCGGTGCCTCGTTGCCCATCTGTCCCAATGATTGCGCCAGGGCGGAGCCGCCCATGGCCTTCTTGGCCTCGGCGAGGTCGACGTAGATAAGAATCGTCTCACCGACGTCTTCGACGCGGCGCAGCTGAGGGGTCCATGTGTTGCGGACGTCCTCGACGACGGTGACGGCCGTGATGATGACGGACATGGGTGCTGTGACGCTCTTTGCCTCGCCAGACTCGCGGTCCTTCCACGATGCTTTCATGGAGGTAGAGTCCTTGCCGACGGGGATAGAGATCTTGAGCTGAGGGCACAGCTCCATACCAATGGCTTGGACGGCCTCATAGAGACCGGCACCTTCGCCAGGGTGGTTGACGGCGGCCATCCAGTTGGCTGACAGCTTCACACGGTCGAGGCGACCCAGGATGTCAGCAGCGCCGAGGTTGAGCAGACTCTCGGCGACGGCCATGCGAGCCGACGCTGCGGGAGAGATGAGAGCCAATTGGGGCTTTTCGCCCATGGCCATGACTTCACCAGTGCGAGTCTTAGAGTCAAGACTGAATGAGGTTGCCGTGACGGCGCAGTCGGCGACTGGAGTCTGCCATGGACCGACCATCTGGTCACGGATGGACAGACCTCCGACGGTTCTGTCACCAATCGTGATGAGGAATGACTTGGAGCCAACGGCGGGCATGCGGAACACGCGCTCAGTGGCGGCGGTGATGAGGCCGGCGGTGTTGGTGGCCTCAGCGGCACCGGCGGCAGCGAGGGCCTCAGCAGCGTTGAATGCGGGGAGGTCCAATCTGCGGGACTCGACGACACGCTCGAGACGGCGGCCGGGAGGGAAGAGGGCGTTGAAAGGCAGGTCAATGGGCATCGGCTGCTCGGGTGAGTCGCGGTCACTGAGAGTCAACTTGGCGTTGCCTTGTGCGTCCTGGGCGGCAACGGTTCCCACGTCGGAAAAGGGGCATCGTTCACGACCTGGGGTGCGGATTAGCATGATACAACAGCTGTGCAGACATGATAGAGAGGGACTCACGGCAGATGCTGACGAAACGGTTAATATTCTCCTTATTGACGAGCAGGACGTAACGCTCCTGGGCCTCATTGCACCAAATTTGCAAGGGGCTCAAGCTGCTGTCCGCGCTGTGAACCTGACGCAGCTCGAACTTGCCGCCGAAGCCAGCATCCTTGACGAGCTCGGGGAGAGCGTTGGACAGACCACCAGCACCGACATCGTGGATCATGGCAATGGGGTTCTGGTCGCCGAGAGCGGCGCAGGTGTCGATGACCATTTGGGCGCGGCGCTCCATCTCAGGGTTGCCGCGCTGGACACTGGCGAAGTCGAGCTCGGCAGTGGCCTCGCTGGAGTCGTTGGAGGAGGCAGCTCCTCCACCGAGACCGATGAGCATAGCAGGACCGCCGAGAACGATGGCATGGGCACCGTCGTGGACGTCACCGAGCTCCTTGAGGGCGTGTTGAGGACGGACTGTTCCAACACCACCAGCAATCATGATAGGCTTGTGGTATCCGCGCCACTCTGGGGACTCCTCCTTGCCGACGTTGGTCAGGAGAGTGCGGAAGCAGCCGAGAAGGCAAGGTCTTCCGAACTCGTTGTTGAAGCGAGCGCTACCGATAGGGGCCTCGAGCATGATATCGAGACTGCTAGCGAAATGAGCGGGCTTACCCAGATCAACCTCCCAAGGGGCCTTCTCGTCCGGGATCAACAGGTCAGAGACCCAGAAACCACAGAGACCGGCCTTGGGAGCAGAGCCTCTGCCGACGGCACCTTCATCACGAATCTCACCTCCAGCACCAGTGGCGGCACCAGGGAAAGGTGAAATGGCGGTGGGGTGGTTGTGTGTCTCAACCTTGACGAGGACGTGGACGACCTCCTTGGTGAGCTTCCAGCTGCCGGTGGAGTAATCGGGGGCCCAGAAGCTGGCAGTCTCACCCTGGAGAACGGCGGCGTTGTCGCTGTAGGCGGAGACTGTGTACTCGGGGTTGGACTTGTGGGTGTTCTTGATCATCTCGAAGAGACTCTTGCCCATGCGCTGCTGATCAATGGTCCAGTTGGCGTTGAACTGCTTGTGGCGGCAGTGCTCCGAGTTGACCTGAGCGAACATGAAAAGCTCCACATCGTGGGGGTTGCGTCCAAGGTTCTTGAAGACCTGGACGAGGTACTCAATCTCAGAGTCGTCGAGAGCCAGGCCGAATTGCTTGTTGTACGACTTGAGAGTCTCAACAGCCTTTGCGGCATCGGCGTTCTGAACATCGTCACCCAGAATGTCGACAATCTCCAATGGGAATCGCTGGCCCTCAATAAACATGGCGGAAAGATCGGGGCGCGACAGGCCAATTGTCTCAGTCATACGGTCGTAGACGACATCCTTGAAGGCGATCTCATCTTCAGAGACGGGGTTCTCAAAGGTGAGGGTGATGGCCCTGCCGCGCTCGATACGGTCGATGTTGTCTGCGAGACCGCA